ATATGCATATTGTATTCTGCTGATGAAGGAACAATCCACCCCACGTTTCCTTGTATATCAGGTAAGGTGCATTCTGAAAATATCAGAGAGTTAATTCTAATATCACTCCATAAATTTTAAGTAGCAGCTCTGGGAGTGACAATACACTAGGAATTCACTCAGCATATTTGCTTTCAGCACTTTATCTCAGCTGGGTTGCTCAGAACTGCACTGCTACAGGTACAGCATCACTATTAATTAAGAGGACAGTAATATTAAAATTACCCTTCATTGTGCTAATAATTGCTGAATATTGATTACTAATGGGTATTAAATTGATTATTATAAAGTACCTCTTAACCTGCTAAGAACTGTGCAGTGAAGACTGATGTTTCTAAGAATCTTTTTTGGAAGAATGATGCATGCATATAGCATAACATTTAGAAAAGTACAAAAGTAAATATAGTGAGAAGATTTCACCTCCACTTCCAGTTCCCTAGTTTGTTTGCCTCTGGAGAGGTAGCCAGTATTACAATGATACAGTTCTTCTGTGTCATTCCAGAGTGTTTTTTTTTTTTTTCCTTTTTGTCTTTTTTCGTGACCAGCAACGGATCGCAACCCTCAGTGTCGCGCCCGTACCGGACCGGGACCAGCAACGGGATCGCAACCCTCGGTGTCGCGCCCGCACCTCGCTCAGCCAGTGAGCGGCTGGAGGGTTGCGATCCCGTTGCCGGTCCCGGTCCGGTACGGGCGCGACACTGAGGGTTGCGATCCGTTGCCGGTCACGAAAAAAAGACAAAAAGAAAAAAAAAAAAAAAGATAGTATGCTGACATATTTAAAGTACTAAGAAAAAATACTAACAGAAATTCTATATCTGATATAACTGAAGAAGAATTGAAGACATTTGCAGGTAAACAAAAACTGACAGTTTGTTAGCAGTATACTTGCCCTAAAAGAAATGCTAAAGGAATTTCTTCCAATCAAAATATTGAAAACACTAGACAGTAACTCAAAGCTGTGCAAATAAATGAAGATCTTTGGTAAAAGCAACTGCAAAAATAAATATAAAAAACAGTATTATTGTATTTTTGGTTTCTAACTACATATTTTATTTCCTGCATAATTTAAAAGACAAATGCATGAAAAATAATTATAAATACGTTATTGAACACACAATTTATAATGATGTAATTTGTGATGACAAAAATATGGGGGGCAGAGCAGATTTTTTTCTATGCTATTAAGCTAAGCTGGTATTAATTCAAACTAGATTGTTACACATTTATGATATTTTTTGTCATGAAAGTAATCACTATGAAAATAACTAAATGGTATACACAAAAAATGAAAAGGGAATAAAAAAGGTACATTACAAAAAACAACTAAATTCAAAAGCAATTCAAAAGCAATAATGGAAGAAATTAAAGACAAAAGATCTAAAACCTACAGAACACAAGTAACAAAATGAAAGAAGTAAGCCTTTTGTAATCGGCAATTAATTTAAATGTAAATTTATAAAATCACCAAAATGAAGAAATTGGCATAGTGTATAAAAAATATAATCCAAGTACAGGCTGTATCCAAGAGATTCACTTTTGATACAAAGACACATATAGGATGAAAGTGAAAGAATAGAAAAATATATTTCATGGAAATATTAATCAAAAGGGATTTGAGGTAGCTATAGTAATATCAGATGAAATAGACTTTAAGTTAAAACCTTTTACAAGACAAAGATGGACATTATATATTGGTAAAGGGTTAACTCATCTAGAACATATACTGATTATAAATATACACACCATATAACAAAGCCCCACAATATCATAGGTGATGCTGTGTGCTTCATATTACATTATAGGATATTAAATCTGAATACTATCTTAGAAGTTATCTAGACCACATATATTCAGATGAGAACATTGAGGCCCAGAGAGGTTAACTGTCTTCCAGGAGGCAGCCTGTTATTAATGGAGGAGCTGGACTTTGGACTTGGTGTCCTGAGCATTTCCACTCTCCCCCCCGTAATATCAGATTGCACATCACCCTTAAGACATCAAGGGTGAAGCAGAACAGCCAAACTAAAATGAGTTTACTCTGGAGCAATTCTTTGCAGATTGGGAATGGTCTGTTCATTAGCTACCTAATTGTGGAAAAAAATGGGTAGATGTTAAAAATCAACCAATATAGGGCCGGCCTGTGGCTCACTCGGGAGAGTGCGGTGCTGATAACACCAAGGCCACGGGTTCGGATCCCATATAGGGATGGCCGGTTCGCTCACTGGGTGAGCGTGGTGCTGACAACACCAAGTCAAGGGTTGAGATCCCCTTACCGGTCATCTTTTTAAAAAAAAAAAAAAAATCAACCAATATAGTGAAGCAAAATGAGATTGTGTTGGGTTTTTAAAAATTATATTAGAGTGTTTTTCATATACTTTTAAAAGCAGATTTTTTTGGTTACAGATAAGATTTCAATGCATTTTGACACCATGGAGAAAGCTTTTTTGAGGGAAGTAGAGGGGAAAACTTGGTTTCCAAAATCAATCTTTCATATATCATTTATGGATCTTAATTCATTTTATTTAGCAATATAAACTATAATATGTTTAATTTATCTTTGTTTATATTATACTTGGTATATTTATAAGTATTTGTTGAGTATTTAGCCTTTTAAAAGTTTTAATATTTCCCTTGTATTTTTATCCTTTTTTTTGTCTTTTTTCGTGACCGGTAACGGGATCGCAACCCTCGGTGTCGCGCCCATACCACAACCGGCAATGGGATCGCAACCCTCGGTGTCGCGCCTGCACCGGGCTCAACCAGTGAGCGGACCGGTCTCTATATGGGATCCGAACCCTCGGCGGGAGCGCCGCCGCACTCCCAAGTGCCGCACTCTACCAAGTGCGCCACCGGGCCAGCCCTCCCTTGTATTTTTATATGAAATAATATGCATGAATTATTGCCCCATTTAAGGGGAGTATTCATTTTGGAGACTGACAGTCATATTGCAGTGTGTTTTGTTGTTTCCAGACCATTGGGTGCTTTCTACTTGAGGTGGCCACCAAAGATCCTTCCCTTGTAGTAGCAGGAGAAGCTTTGGATGCCCTCTTTGATGTTTTTGCAGATGGTACAGAAGCTGAAAGAGCCTCAATTCAGATTAAATTGTTATCTGCTCTGAAGGAATTCCAGCCAGTCTTCAAAATGAAGGTTTGTAGTCATTTTATTTATGAATGCATAAGTCTCAACATTCTGTGGAGCTGAGGGTATATGTAGTTTCCACCATGCAATTTAGAGGCATGTGCATGATGAATACCTGTAAATCTCAATGAATCATATAGTACTGCATCCCCAGTACTTTGTAAAATGCTTGTTGACTGAGTCATAGCTCAACAGTGTTACTGCTGAATTATTTAACTTGAAGTTTTGTTATATTACATTTAAAAATTTAGTAATAGTGGCTACCATTTATTGAGTTAAGCTTCACTGGTAGGTGCCTTAATTGTGGGGGAAAAAAAGAACAGTTTACTCTTAATTATGCTTTGTTTCAGCTTGTAGTGTTTTTTGTTGTTTTTGTTGTTTGGTATTTAAGCAATGAGAGATTTTATTCCCTGCCTCACAGGTGACCAAATTGACTGGTTTTTCTTTAGGCAAAGACAAATGTACCTTAGTGTTTTATCCCTATCCCCCTCTTTTTTTTTCTTTTTCTTTTTTTTTTTTTTTTTTTTATGTCCAGCCAGTATGGTTTTCCAAACCCTAGTATTTTATCCTTTATTATCCAAAAGGTAGCTTAATATAGTCACAGTCCTGCACTTAATGTGTTTTTACCTGACACTGTATCCTGGAGCTATTCCATACCAGTACACAGATCCACATTGTTCTTAAAAGTTACAGGCCCTTGAAACTTCTGGAAAAGGAGCCTGCAAGCTAAAAAGGAGAAAATATTACCTATTTCCCTGCAGCTTCAAGGAAAGCAGATGTAGTTAGTCATCAAACTACAGAAGTAAATGCTTAAAAAGGAGTTATGTAAACTATTAACTGGGAAAATAACCCCTAACCAACCGCTGAAAGTTCTATTGTTCTGATTGACTTTCCTACTTAGTATGCATTGCTATGGTAATAGTATTTAATTGTTTTTCTTTTCTCAAAGGTATAAAGCCCTAATGAAATTTCTTTGTTAGCCAGAAGGCTAGCCTGTAGTTTTTCATATGAAGCTCTTTTGTATAAAATGAAGCCACAATTGCATTAAGTGACGTTCAGTGTGTATTTAGCCTCAAATTGCACTTAAATACAATACATAGATTTTACTAAAGAACTTCTCAAGAGTATTGTTTCTCAGAAGTGCCCTCCCTGCATCAACAGCATCAGCATCACCTGGTAACTTATTCGAAATACAGATTCTCAGCCCCAACTCTAGACCTACTGAATCCGAAACTCTGGATGGGCCCACCTATCTGTTTTTTAACACACCTACATGATACTTTTGCACACTAAAACTTGCGAACCACTGTTCTAGCCTAGAAGTGAGATATAACTAACATACGATAAAATTCATTCTTTTAAGGTCTACAATTCAGTCATGTTTGCAACTGTCATTTTAAAGGTGCATATTCTAAGTGTATTTTTATTCTTCGTTTACTGTGTTCCATTTACCTTGCAAGTAAAAATGTTTCACCAAATTCTTGCCACTGTCTTGTTTAGGAAATGATTAAATACACTGTAAATTAAATACTTTATTTAAATGCATTAGTAATATATACAAAATCACATGACTTTTTTTTCCAGATACGAAAAGAAGGGAGAGGTAAATACAGTCCAGATCAGCTGTGTGTTCTTGACAATGTGAAGATGAATTTGAGAAGGTTTGTTACTTATCAAGAAACCGTTGAGAAAAGACTGACTTCTTGAACCATCAAAAGAGAGACCAATTCTTCCCCAAAGTATTTGATGCTAAGAATACTGAAGGGTTTCCTTTGAGTGTATATGAAAGTAATTTTTTAATGCTTATATTATATACATTAATTTTAAGTTCATAAAAACTTCAAAACCTGTTAGAAACTCCTCTTTAAGCCTTGGGATCTTTGTGGCATTTCTAGTGCTCTTTAAATCATGTCTCCAGCAGTATTTACTCACTGGAAACACATAGAGCGGAAGAGTGGAAACACAGAAATCTCAGGTGGTTCTTAACTAATTTGTATACAGTGACAAAACTTCAAACAATCATGTTTCCCTTGAATTTTGCAGAAAAGGAAAATCCAAAGCACTGTTTTGGATGCTCTTTTTAGTCAGTATCATTTTATCATTTTATATTAGCTGAATCTATAACTAATATGAACATGAAGATAGGCTTTATAAAATGATTTTTTTGGTATGAAGTGTACCATTATGTTTACCTTTTGTAAAGAAATGAATGAGTTGAATTTGTGCTTTACTACTTAGCAGGTCATACTAATGAGTTAATTAGGTAATTGCCATTCTCTCTTTGGGCAGATCTGATCAGTTATTGCTTTGTAACATCATCCCTGTATTTAATTCGATATGGAATCAGAATTAGGAGAAAATATTTTTGAATAAATAATTTTTTAATTGAAAGCTTTGTGTCTTACAAAATCTTTTTTAAGATATTAAATGATCCTATTCCTGGGTGTTTGATAGCTAATGGATATTGCTTCAAGTATATGAGATACTAAAAAAAATAAATAAAGACAGCAGGAATTTCCAGTATTATCTCTTGAAGTAATAGGGCGCCAGCTGGGGCTGACGGAAAGAATTTCAGTGCCCATCACTCTCTGAGAGGGCCCCTGGACCAGCTCCATTGTTCATCCGTTTGTCTGATCGGAAAAGTTGTAGAAGATTTGAAAATTTCTGCACAGTTGATCTCAGTTGCCCTGATAAAAGCCCCAATACCTAGTATAAAACTTAACCTTTACTCACTGCTTCTATAGCTGCATAAAATGAGCTAGTAGTATTACATTTCATCTGCACTGTGGCTTATTTTATTTTTTACCTCTATAATATAGATTGTTAGGAAACCAAGATTGTTTCCCAACTGTAAGAGTCACTGAGCCCTGAGACCAAGTGAAATGCCCAGATGCTATATGTGGTAGGAAGATGGAAATGGTGTACCATATACTAAAATTTCCTTTTTTTCTTTTTTCTTTAAAAGATGACTGGTAAGGGGATCTGAACCCATGGCCTTGGTGTTATCAGCACCACACTCTCCCAAGGGAGCCACGGGCCAGCCCTTAAATTTTTTTTGCTTTATTATGCTCCTTGATCATGAATTTTATATTATGTGTATGTTTAGTGATCATTTCAGCTAAATGATTGATCCAGGCTTTTTATAGCATGTGTCCTTTGAGAGGGATTCTTCCAATGAAGAAAAGTTTCAGAGTTCTCTGCCTCAAGTATTTATAAAATATAATTATTTTGAAGGAGAAAAAAATTTCTAAGTCTGTTCTTTCCCTTCCTTTCCAACCTGTAAACAATATGCAGAATATCTAGCATAGGGCCTAGTACATATTAGGCCCTCGATAAATATTTGTTAAACAAATAAATCTTAGTGATTTTCTGCTTTATGAAGCACGCTCTAAGGCAGCTGAATGTGGAAGCATCCTGCAGAACAGTAGGTGAGTTATTGTACTGAAGATGAGTTATTACACTGAAGATGTGTCATCCTAAAAATATTATTAGATTCTGAGGCATGGATAGTTTGGTCTGCATTGCTACCATTCAATTTTACTACTCTAGCAACAGGAAAAATGAAAACAACAAAAATATACTCTACAGTTTTAACTATTTACCTAATAGCTCAGTAGAGCATGCAGGTATTATTCATGCCACAGTATAATGGAGACTATAGTTTTTTCCTATTGAAAACAACAGTCTGCTTTAAAATACATTTATTTGAAAATCACCCAGAATTGTCCAGTAGAGATATACACTATGTTAAGTGTGGAAGTATGAACTCATGTGAGATTCTTTAAGTGTTCACCCTGCCATAGCATGTTTGCCCAAGGAAATAAAAATCACTGCTTTACTTCTCATTTATTTTTTTACCTTTAAAACTGAAATGCATTTTATTTTAAAAAAATAATTAATTTTGAAATATCAGTCATTTTAATTATATTTCTTTTTGTAGTTGTATCTTTTGCCTTTATTTAGTTAATCAAAGAAATACTTTTGAGTTGTCAAGATAGGGAAAGGCCCTTATCTAGTCAGCATTCCTGTTTTTACCTAGTTCTGTCTTAGGCTTGCTTCCTGCCTTTTTGAAATTGCATGGACCAATACTTGATTGTTTTTATTTTTATTTATTTTTTTTTTTTAATTTTTTTTAAAGATGACCGGTAAGGGGATCTTAACCCTTGACTTGGTGTTGTCAGCACCACGCTCACCCAGTGAGCAAACCGGCCATCCCTATATGGGATCCGAACCATTAATAGCACCTGACTTGACTCTCAAAAGTGCTCTTGTTTAAGATTAAAGGAAACTAACATGACAATGTGAGATCTAGGATTGGATCCAGGACTAGGATAAAAACATCTAAATGCACATAATTGAGACAACTGACCAAGTTGAATTTATAATGTGGATTAGATAATAGCATTTTATCAATTTTAAATGTCGTCATTTGATTGCTATACTGTCAAAAACAAGAGAATGTCCTTGTTCTTAAGAAATACACATTGAAGTATTTATGGATAAAAGAACATGATGTCTCCAACATACTCTCAAATGGCTCAGAAAAAATAATATTTATATATAAATGTAGAGAGGAAGAATAGAAAAGCAAATGGGACAAAGTGTAAACGATTAGTGAATTGAATGAAGGGTGCACTGGACTTCCCTGAACTAATTTTGTAATTTTTCACTAAATTTGAAATTATATCAAAATAAAAAGGAAAATAATTTTTAAAAGGCTAAATAAAAGGGCTTGCATTAAACACTGAATTATATGGTCAGCCTACCCATAAACCCCTGGGTATTCTGGTCCTGCTTTACCCTCAGGTCTCTTTTGCTCTGTCTGCCTTGCTCTCAAGCTTCAGCCTTTCTGTCCTTTATTCAGTTGTTTTAAAGCACCATGCTCCTTCATTATACATATGAAGAAACCACTGCCTGGTTTCTTTTCCCACTTAACCTAGTTAACTCCTACTCATCCCTCAGTACTCAGCTGAAATGGCAATTCCACAAGGGGAAGTTTCTCTAACTCCGCAGACAAGATCAGAGGTCAGTGTTCTGGACACTCACAGCATCTTGTACCATATACCCCTTGATTTATTAAAGCTCCTAACTTTGTGCCAGGTACTCTGATAGATACTGAGGACACCAAGGTAGGCAAAATAGATGTGTTTATCTTTACAGAGCTTATGGCCTATTAGGAGAGACAGACATAATCAATATAAAATTACAAATACAACAAGTGCTACAAAGAAAGGGAACATGCTTCTTTGAGGCTATAAGAGGGGCTTTACTAGGTCAGGGAAGGCTTCCCTGGAGAAGTGATAGAAACAATAAACTAGGTGACTAAGTAGGAAGAATAGTTTCTGGAAGGTGAACAGCATGTGCAAGGGTCCTGGGGCCAGAGGGAGTGAGGCAAGGAAGAGGGGGCCAAAAGGAGCTCCAGCACAGTGGTAGTGCATTGCAGGGTGTGACGACTGAGGCAGGCAGGCCACACCTCTAGGGCCTTGTAAGATGTTAAATCTTTGTGCTTGCTTCACAGTACATGTACTAAGATTAGAACGATACAGAGAAGATTAGCATGGCCCCTATGCAAGGATGGCACGCAAATTTGTGAAGCATTCCATATTTTGCTTTCCTTTTCTAATGTACATGGTGGGGGGTGGGGGTGTGAAACCGAAGCCCCCATAAGTGAAGTGACTTACTGGCCCTTCCAGCTTCAAATCCCATTCTTAACTCCTCCTGTGAAAAAACAAAAACAAACTTGTAATGCATTAGACACAAAGGGGGAAATAAAGGGAAGTGTCAAGATTGAGTTTCTATCTTGCATAACATGTTGAATAGTATTACATTTACCGAAATAGGAAACACAGAAGAGGATCAGGCTGGGAGGAAGCTGATGAACTTATTTTCAATATGTTGCTAAATCAGCTAAGAAGGTTTTGAGTGCAAATAACAAAAAATTGGGATCCACTGTCTTAAACTGTAACAAATGTGTTATTCCACATAAAAAAAAATCCAGTGAGAGAGGATTGGTTAATCCTGCAGCTCACTGACATCATCAAATATCCACGTTCTTTCCATGTTTTTTCTATGCCTTCCTTAGCACACAAGTTAGCTCCCTTCTGTGGTTGAGAGATGATTGTATCGATCCAGCGGCAGAAAGGAAACTTTTTCTTCATTGTGTCTCTTTTTAAGAACTAAACACCTTTCCCAGAAGCCCCCACCCGCCAAGATTTCTACTCTGTATCAATCATGGTAATTAATGTTATATGCTGTAACAACCACCCTAACCAAGTGTTTTAAGGCAATAAAAGTTTATTTCTCATTCATGTCACAGTTCTATGCAATTTGGGTGGCTCACTGAGGGATCTAGGATCCTTCTTTCACATACTTCCACCATCTTGGAATACTTTTCCTTTTTCTTTTTTTAAAGCAACATCAAGTTGTCAGCCCACAGTTAGACTACATCAGAAGTCTAACTGGGCTCTGCTGGATTCTCTCCATAGGATCTGACAAGGCTGAACCTGAGGTATTGGCTAGCTGACTCTTCTCTGGAGGATATGGGAAGAATCTGCTTCCATGCTCATTCAGCTGTTGGTAGAATTTAGTTTCTGTGGTTGCAGGACTGAGGTTCCATTTCCTTGCTGGATATTGGTAGGGGGCTGCTCTTAGCTCCCTAATTGGAGTCCTTTTCTTTCAGGTAAAAGAGAGTGACTTAAGGATCTCACTTAAAATTTTAGGGCCAACTGGGGCCGGCCCTGTGGCGCTCCCGCCACAGGTTCGGATCCTATATAGGGATGGCCCGTGCGCTCACTGGCTGAGCGCAGTGTGGGTGACACCACACCAAGGGGTGCGATCCCCTTACCGGTCACAAAAAAAGACAAAAAAAAAAAAAAAAATAGGGATAAATAAAGGTTTTTTTGAATGAGTGTTGTTGAATTAAAGGAATAATGAATTTGTGTTTCAGGCCATCAGATTTTAAGTACATATAGTAGAAC